GCCACTCACACCACTGGTCCTGTCGGGCTCACCCGCCCTGGATTCCCTGTATTTCCAGTCCCTATCTGTACCAGTGTACCTCCTCTGGTCTAGCCAGACTTGCAAGTTCGAATTCGAGTCATATTAGTGGCAGGAACTAGTTTTTAAAGGGGGAGTTCAAGGTGTTTCTTAGTTATACCAGTAAGTAGAAATGCCTTTTCTGTGAAGCAAGAACATTCTTGACGACGCCCTGTGGGTTAAGTACTCACTACGCGGTTCTCTGGCTGTTTAAAAAGGAAGCTCGGCGGCTGTAATAAAGAAAGGCTTATTAGGATCAAGCGGAGATTTTATTTTATTTTACTTTTTGTCACATGGAAAGAGAATCAAAAAGAGCTGGACTCCCTCACTAGGCCCTGTGAGGGACTGAAAAAGAAATGGTTTAGTCATTTTTCCCTCTCACCTTTGGACGACGCATCCCATCCAGGGGGGGAAGTAGCTCGCTGCCTAGAGCCTTTGCATGGTGAGGGGAGTCACTCACTGCTCCAGATTGAGCTGTGGCTCCCAGGAAAGTTATGTGTGGAGATGGAAAGTGGGCGGGAGGGGGGCAGTACTCACCCCAAGATCCTTAGCCCACAGAGTAACCAGAGCTCGAGTTCTAGAGTCAGCCTTGGATGGAAATCTTCATTTTACCAGTTAACTGAAGTCTGACCTGGGGCAAATCACCTAACGGAGTCTCAGTTGCCTCCTCTCTGTTGTCATCAGTTGCCATCCATTCAACTCCCATCCATGACAACCATCACAGCAGAGCCAAACGTCACCCAGGCCGGCGTCATCTTCACCATCACCAGTCTGTTTGAGAGCATTGTCACAGCTCTTGTGCCAAGACGTCTTCCCCAGAGTCTCCCTATCCTGGCTAACCCTCCCCCTCACCAGACAGGCCGCCCTCGTCCAGCAATGGATCCCTTCTCAGGACGTGTCCAAGTCCAAGGAGGCGATAGGGCACTTTGTGTTTTTGTTAGGTGATTTTTCAGAAGTAGATCACCAGGTCTTTCTTCCTAGTTTGCCTTAGTCTGCAAACCCCATTGAAACCTGTCCATCCTGGGTGACCCTGCTGCTATTTGAAATACCTGTGGTATCGTTGCCAGCGTCACGGGAACACGTAAGCCATCACAGTAGGGTAAACTGACTGACATGTGGTGGTCTCCATCCCGAGAGTAGAATAATGGTACTCCCCCTCAAAGAGTCACTGTTAGGCTTAAATGCACTAACATCTGCACTGGGCCTGGCACCTAGAAAGAGAGTCATGGATTCCATTGTTATTGGCGTCTCCCTGGTTATCTTTCCAGCCTGCAGGAACTCAAGCACTGGGTGACGCAACTGCAGCCAGAAGGAGGCACTAATCTGCTAGAAGCCTTGAAGAAAGTTTTCACTATCAAAGACCTGAATGCTCTGGTGATCATAATGGGAAGCTGGTAGGTCTCTTTTCCTAAGTGATGACATGCAGAGGGGGGTCAATGGACCAAACTTTTGTTTGAGGAAAGATCGTCCAGTATGACTCTTCTTCACACATAGTTGAGAGACGAATGATCCATATAAGCTCCCCTTTCACAGATGTGGGGGACGAAGAAGCACCCGGGATAGGAAAGCCAGGGGGTCAGGCTGGGGCCCGCCCAGCCCAGCATCTTACACAGATGGCGTGGGATGCAGGTAGTCAGTTATATTTCCCCAGCTGAGGATTACCATTTTGTTCTGGACTGTTCTCAAAGTGGTTTGGTCAGGGGTCCCCACTTCTTTTCTTCCTCTTCTCCCCAGCCCGAACCAGTCCTCTGACATCCTCTCTGACTACATCCAGCAGTGCACCATGGGAAGGAGCATCACCATCCACATCATCACATACAAATGCAACAATCAGGTGCCCCCTGTGAGTAGCCTAGGTTCTCCAAGGTTTCCTTTGGTCTGGTGATTATGAGCTGACCAACCTTTGAAGCTCTATTGCCAGACTGTGGGCCAGAAACTCTAGTTCCCTCCCCTCCTCTGCCTCTCCCTGCACCTAGCTTTCCTTTTGGTCAAATGGGAAGCATTGGATAGTTAGGAGTTTGAGTAAAAGTGAAAGTTAGTTTAGGTATGGGCGTTGCCCTAATGAGGCACCATCCCTGCAGGCTGTCCTAAAGAACCTTGCAGAAGCTGTCGAAGGCTACTACCATTGCTATAGCCCGGAGACAGAGGTAAGACCTTACATACATTCTTCCTCGCCTTCCTGCCCTGTCTGCCTCCAAGGTTGTGTGTAGGGAATCTGGGACATTTCACATGCTTGCTTCCTGCCTCGCTCCTCCACTCAATCGGTTTGCCAGGTAAAATCAGGTTAAAGTTAATACGTAGTTTGCTTAGGGGACACTGTTTCTGTTAAAGGTGGAAGAATAATTTAGAACCAGAGAGTGGTGATGATAGTATAGCATGATGAATGGAATCAATGTCACTAAATTGTAAATATTGTTGAATTGGCAAATGTTTTAGTCTTTATTTTTCTATCACAATAAAATGGCATCTATATGAACAGAGACAATATACAAGTCACAAGACATCCTTGGGTGGGCATGCATGAAAAGTTGATTGTCTGCCTGTAAGTCCAAATGCATTTTAGGCCCTAACCAGTAGAACCCCAAATCATTCTCCAGTGCTTATTAGCATAGGCCCCACCCATCCTGTGCCCTCAGAAAACCAATAAGTTGCCACCGTAGCTTGTATTTGATCTCTAAACAGACCCCTGCTATTGCCACAACAGAGCAGAATGGGTAATCAATTCTGTAGCCTTGTGTCCATTAGTGTTTCTGTCCTAATTAATAAATAAATAGACCCCATCTCATGTTCACATGGAGGTAAGGATTAACAAATGTGTGTGTAGCTCCATTTAGCAGATTAGGAGTCCAGCTTCTACCCTAATGTTCACAGAAGCATTATGCACAGTAAGTAGCCCAACAGTAGAAACAACAGATCAATGGATAAACTAAATGTGATATATCCATGCAATGGAGTATTATGCAGCCATAAGGAGAAATGGGGTTCTAACACATGCTTACAACATGAATGAGCTTAAAAACGTTCTGCTAACTGAAATAACTCAGACACAAAAAGGACAAATATGGTATGATCCCATTTATGTAAAATATGTACAATAGACAAATACAGAGGGCCAAAGTTTCTTGGTGAGTACCAGGAAGAGATGAGAGGGGGAAATTGGAAGATATAGCTTAGTGGGCACTGAGTTTCTATTAGGGGTGTTGAAAAGAATTGGATTTGGATAGTGGTGATGGTTGTGCAATATGGTGAACATAATGTCCCTGAATCGTATGTGTAAAAAGGGTTGAATTGACAAACATTTTTTTAATATATGAGTACATTTCACCACAATAAAAACAATTCCATATGTACCTATCTGTTCAGCTAACAGACTGTGCCTTGCTGACTATGGTCATTGAATAAAATCAACCCCCAAACCAGACTCCCCATCAGCGAGTCGATGTCAACTCATAGTGACCCTATAGGACAGACTAGAACTGGCCCTCCGTGTTTCTGAGATTGAAACTCTTTTTTTCAATCATTTTATTGGGGTCTTGTACAACTCCTATCATAATGCATACATCCATCCATGTGTCAAGCACATTGTAGATTTGTTGTCATCATCATTCTCAAAACAGTTTCTTTCTACTTGAGCCCTTGGTATCAGCTCCTCATTTTCCCCTCCCTCCCATGCCCTTCCTCCCTTCCAAACGCTTGATAATTTATAATTTTTTTTTTCATGTCTTACACTGTCTGATGTCTCCCTTCACCCACTTTTCTGTTGTCCGTCCCCCAGGGAGGGGGTTTTATGTATGTAGATCATTGTGATCGGTTCCCCCTTTCTACTCCCCCTTCCCCTTACTCTCCTGGTATTACCACTCTCATTATTGGTCCTGAGGGGTTTATCTGTCCTGGATTCCCTGTTTCCAGTTCCTATCTGTGCCAGTGTACATCCTCTGGTCTACCCGGATTTTAAGGTAGGATTGGGATCATGATAGTGGGGGAAAGGAAGCATTAACGGACTAGAGGAAAGTTGTACGTTTCATCATTGCTGTACTGCACCCTGACTGGCTCATCTCTTCCTTGTGACCCTTCTGTAAGGGAATGTCCAGTTGCCTACAGATGGGCTTTGGGTCTCCACTCCGCACTCCTCCTCATTCACAATGACAGGACTTTTTGTTCTCTGATGCCTGATACCTGATCCTATTGACACCTCATGATCACTCAGGCTGGTGTGTTTCTTCCATGTGGGCTTTGTTGCTTCTCAGCTGGATGGCCGCTTGTTTATCTTCAAGCCTTTAAGACCCCAGATGCTATATCTTTTGATAGCTGGGCACTATCAGCTTTCTTCACCATAGGTGCTTATGCACCCGCTTTGTCTTCAGTGATTGTGTCGGGAAGGTGAGCATCATGGAATGCCAGTTTAATAGAACAAAGTGTTCTTGCGTTGACGGACTTGATTAGAGACCCAATGTCCATCTGCTACCTTAATACTAAACCAATAAATATATGCACATAGATCTATTTCCCCATCGTCATATATAAATATATTTACCTATGTACATGCCTGTATTTAGACCTCTATAAATGCCCTTTGCCTCCTAGTTCCTTCCTCTGTTTCCTTTTACTTTCCTCTTGTCCCACTATCATGCTCAGCCTTCTGGGTTTCAGTAATTCCTCATTACATTGCCCTTGATCAAGCCCTACCAGGCCTCCTATACCCTCCTCGCCATCGATTTTAGATCACTTGTTGTTCCTTGTCCCTGGGACTGTTAATACCCACTTCCTTTCCCCTGATTTCCCCTGTCCCATGTCCCCCTGAACCATCAGTCCCATTGTTTTCTCCTCCAGCTTGTTTATCCCTCCTATCTTATCTAGATAGACCTGCAGAGGTAATGGTATGCACAAAAAACAAGACAGAGCAAAACAAAGCAACAAAAGAAAACAAAACAAGAAAAGCCTGTAAATAGTTCAAGGTCTGGTTGTTGACCTTTAAGAGGGTGAAGTCTGATGGAGTGCCACGCCGCCCTGGCCCCAAAGTCTATTTTTGGTATTCCCTGAGGACTTCATTGCTCTGTTCCCCTTGCTGTTTCATTGCACACCCTTACTGTTTTGCCTCCATGTGGTTAGGTCAGATCGGGCGCAATGCCCTCACTGTGTCTCTAGTGTTGTCCCCCATAATGCTATGGGTCAGTGAGGGACATCATGTCTCATAGCGGGACCAGCCTTACATTCCCCTCTGTGCTTTGGCTGCTCTGAGTGGGAATATTGTCCTCAGGGCTTGGTGGGCCAGGATGTGGAGATTGAAACTCTTCACAGGAGTAGAAAACCTCATCTTTCTCCCAAGTTATTGAATAGTCATGAATAAAATAATATTTTCATCCCACAAATATGCTTAAGTGTCACAAATATTAGCATTTTACACCAGAGAACCAAGGTCAGCCAACATTTACCTTAGATGATCCTCCCTTTAAAAAAGAGTTTCATTGAGCTATAAAGAGCACATCATACAATTCAATAGTTCCGTTATATCAAGCAGTGTTATACAATTGCTACCACAATCATTTTCAAAACTTTGAACACCCTCTCAGTGCACCCCCTCCTCAGAAGCCCTGATTCTAGTGATTGTCTCTTTAGAGTCCCCATGCTGGGCGTCATGTATGGATGGGCCTTCTTGTACTAACTGTCAGACTCTGAAGGAATTGAAGACTTTAAGGTCTAGGAAGATAAAAGACATGAACAAAGCTGATTGATTTCAGAAATCTTCTCTCTTAATACCCATGGTGCTCATTTTAAAAATGTTATTACTTATTTTGTTGTTGAGAATATACAGAGCAGAACGTATGCCATTCAGTAGCCATTGATCATATTCTTTGAGTTGTACACCCAGTCTCAGCCCTCCTCTTCTGAGTTATTCCTCCCTATTAGCACACCTTCGCTGTCCCCTGAAGTTCCCGTGTAATCGGCTAGTTGTGGTTAAGATCTGTGAACCTCTTGATTTGTCGGCTGTTTTCCACTCTGGATGAAGATATGGATACAAAACATCTGATGAGGGTGGGCAACTGAGAGCGGTGAGGACCCTGCTGAACTGAATAGCTCTTCTCCATCTAAACAAGGCAGTCACTACTCAGCTTGTCAATTGTTGCTCTGGTGGAATGAGATCTGTCTCGCCAGGTCTTCTGATTTTTAATATTCATTGTCATTGAGTCAATTCCAACTCATGGTGACCCTACAAGACAAAGGAGAACCACTCCATAGCGCTTCCAAGGTTATGAATCTTTACAGGAGCAGACTGCACCATCTTGCTCCTTGAATAGCGGCTGATGGGTTTGAACCATGAGCTTTTCAGTTACCAGCCCCACACTTAACTCACTTTGCCATTAGGGTGCCTGGTTTTTCACTAAGAGCCAGGAATAAGGGTTTAAATGTTTTTTCTTTTTTTAATCATTTTATTGAGGGTCTCTTCCAAATCTTATAACAACCCATCATTCAGTGGTATCAGGCACACTTGTATATATGTTGCCATAAACATTTCCAAAATAATTTCTTTCTACTTGAGCGCTTGGTGTCAGCTCCTCTTTTTTTCCCCTCCTTCCCCCAACCCTCCCGCCCTCATGAAACCTTGATCAATTATATATTATTATTGTTCTTTTGTGTCTTACACTGTCTAAATGTTTTTCTTAAGCAAATGAGTTAAGTGGCTTTTACATCCATATGTTGTGGCAACACTCCTCTGTTTAGTTCTAAAACATTGTCACTACCCCCAAATACATGATTCATATTCATTAAGTAATCACACTTTATTCTTCCCCTTGCCTAGCCCCTGTAAACCATCAATCTGCTTTCTGTCTCTATGAATTTACCTATGTTAGATATTGCCAATAAATGAAATAACGTCATCGTTGACATTTTCTATCTAGTTTCTTTCACGTAGCATAAATGATTTTGAGGTCTGTGCACATTGTGGCATCATTCTTTTTTATGGCTGAATAATATTCCACTGTGTGTACATACCATAAAATTGTTTATCTGTTCCTGTGTTGATGGACATTTGGGCTTCTATCTTTTGGCTAGTTTTGAGTAATGTTGCTATAAACATTCACGTAAGTAAATGTTTGGACTGTGGTTTCATTTCTCCTGGTTATATATCTAAGAGTAGAATTGTGGGAGCATGTATATATATATATAAAACCATGTTTATAACCATATATATAACCATGTATATAACCATATATGTAACCATATGTATAACCATATATATAACCCTGTTTAACATTTGAGAAATCGCCACACCGTTCTCCACAGCAGTGAACTGTTTTACTTTCCAACCATCAATGTAAGGAGCCCTGGTGGCACAGTGGTTAAGTGCTCGGCTGTTAAGCAAAAGGCCAGTGGTTAAAGACAACCAGCTGTTCCGTAGGGAAAAGAGGGATCCATCTGCTTGTGTAACAATGTGTAACTCTGAAAGCAAGCTCTGGGAGTCAGTTCTACTCTGTCCTACAGGGTCATAATGGGTGGAATGAGCTCAACGGCACTGGATCTTGCAGCAATATAGGTAGGTTCCCCCTCTCTACATTCTCACCCAAGCTTGTTCTTCTCCTTGTTTTTGTTTGTTTGTTTTCAATTCTTCAATGCCATCCTAGTGAATGTGAACTGGCTCTTTACTTAAAAACAAACAACCCCCCCCCCAAAAAAAACCCCAATTATTTTATTTGGTCAGAAATATATGTGGGGACTTCAAAGTGTTCATGGGAAAATTCCATTATCTTTTGATTCCCTTTCCCACTAACATTTGAAGCCCCCTCATACATAACAAAATATTTGCTAATTAAACATGATTACATGTACATTGCAGTAACGCTGATGATGTGCTTCATGTTGTAAAACTGCCGTCATGATTCATTTCCAAATGATCCCACTACAGTGATTAGAAGCTCGGTGTGCCGTGAGCAAAGACTCCCCTTCTCTTTCTCCTTCTCCCCCGCCTCCCCTGGTAGCCACTAATAAGCTTTGGGTTTATACAATATTTACTCTTCTACAACTGACTGACTTCAGGAAGCATCTTCTCAGGGTTCATCCATGTTGTAGCATGCATCCAGCTGTTATTTTTCTTTTGCCTGGGTAATATTTCAGTGGGTGTATGTGTGTTTTCAAAACACATTTTGTCTGTCCCGTCAATGGGTTGCTTCCTCTTTATGACATCTGAAACGTTAGAAAATCTTCCCATTTAGAAAACACTGCAGACTCATACTCTCTACGCGGAACAAGTGCGTCGCAGGCTCCCTCTGGCACAGGGACCACAGCTACGGGCTATGAGTAGCCAATTGACTTCTGGATGACTGCTTGTTCCCATCTCCCAGGTCTACACCAACCGGGACATGGATGCGATCCTGGCAGAAATCCAGAAAGCCCGGAACCTGCTCCAACACATCCAAGCCCTGCGCCAGAGCGACTCCTGTCAGGAGGTCACTGGCCTGATAAAACAGGTAGGCCGTCTGAGCAGCGTCTCTGTGACCTTCCTAAAGGCACTCAGCCGGCCGCTTATTGTAGCATCTCATTATGGTTGTGATGTATCTTTTCCAATGTCTTTACAAACAAAATAGGAGGGGATTTTTTTAAATTCAAGAAAAATAATGATTAATAAGCTTTCATGTTGAATGTTTTTAAAATATGAAGGAAATGATAGTACAGGGGTGCTCAGATCTAGAATTCCTGAAGTTTGTGAATTGCTGCACTTTTATGGATGCTTGACCGCCTATACTTGTCATGTGACTTAACCTCTTAGCGCGTTAGTTTGTTTGTGTCCATTGTTAAAGGGGACAGTACCTGGGCTAGATCAGAACTACTCCTTAAATGACTTGACGTGGCAGCTACTTTTGGGTTCTCTGAAGCCTACCATTTTGAACCCATGGAGGGGAGGGGGGCTACCCATCACCTTGGGGTCTATGGTGCTGACCTCAATGGGAAAGGTGGAGAAAAGGGTGGTAAATGAAAGAGGAAGGGAGTTGCTAGGTACTCTTATCTCCTAGCTTCCAGAAATCTCAGAGAAGAGAAAGGAGGGGGAAGTTGAACTTTAATGTATCAGCTGTTAAAGATGTTCCATTCACAGGAGAGAGGGCGAGAAGGAAGAGGGAGCCAGAGAGAGAGCCATTCAGTCGGTGGCTGAGCCAGAGGTGGGATGGGTGGGACGTTCAAGTCATTCCAGCTCTAAAAGATGATCATGCAATGTGATTCTTTTAATTTAATATAGGTTTCCACAGAGATGGCAAAAGGGTCACTCACAAGTCTCTTGCCTAAACCCCCAAAGCATGAGGGTCCCCTCGCAATTGAATTCCCAAACTTGGACAAGAGCTCTGCAGAGTGGCTGAAGATCCATGGGCTAAAAGGTAAGTCTCTAAAGAGAGAAGACCTGAGGACACTGAGAGGGACGAGCCTCGTGGCCCTTCATGAGCAGCCCCTCAAACCCCATTATGTTTGCAGCCAAGAAGTTAAGCCTTTATCAGGTTCTGGCGCCCAATGCCTTCTCTCCAGTGGAGGAATTTGTGCCTATTCTCCAGAAAACGGTGTCATCGACCATCCACGAGGTAATTCAAACAGGACGGAGCCGTCACTCCAGCCTGCTGCAGGGGTGTGCTTTTGTGGGCTTTCTTGTCTTCTTAGATGATCAATCCATAACAATGAGAATGCAAGGACAGGGTGCCTGGTGACCTGATTTGAGATGCAGGTTTTGCCAGAGCGCTAGAACTCTCATCAACGCAACAGTTAACGCCTGGCTTTTAAAAATCTAAAATACAGCTTGAAAGATGGATCAAGAGATAACTTGGGTACTGTGGTCACCTTTCATGAAGGTTTTCTTCCACTCCATTCAGATAGAACAGATTCATTTTCTTTTGTGCCCTCATTCTACCTTGTAAAGCAGTTGTAATTTGTTGATATGCATGCATTCTTACATATCTTCATTCCCACCAGGCTGTATGAGGCAGAGAGAATCTCTTCTCTAATTGTGTATCACCAATAATTGGCAACATTAATTGACTACCAAGCAATGGGTATTTACTAGGTGAATGAGTGAGTGGGTACATGCAAGAAAGGACAGAAAGAAGGATGAAAAATAAGGATGAACAGGTACATGAATGGAAGTATTGAAGAATGAATGAAAAGTAGGCAAATGAATGAAGTAAGTGGATAAAAATATGAATAGCTGAGGTCTGAAAGGAGAAATGAAAATGGGTAATAGAGATAGAATAAAGTTAGTTTCATCCTTTAGGATGGAGAAATAGAAGGAAGGAATAACTGGTGGATGAAAAAAACACAAAAATATTGATAAAAGAAATTAAAAATGGATTGAGTGAGAGATGTATGGTTCTTACAATAGATGGATAATCATCCTTTCCCCAAATCTATTTCATTCATCTCCCCCTCCTTGTTGCCCATGCTGGTGTGCAGAAGGTAATGGTACAATTTGAATGGCATGACGGTTCAATAAAGAATATTCACGTGGATCCACCCTTCCTCTATGAGTACCAGGTCAGTGATGGACCCAAGAGTCAGGCTACGAATGTGGTGAGTGGGATGGGAGGAAGGCACCGTAGGTTGTAGTTTACCAAGCTACTGTCCCATTGTCTGAAGATCCCTCTGTAAACAGAGCCTTGGTCCTCCCCCACAGAGACCTATGGGTATGCCCTCCTCCCTGGTCAGGGAATAAGTCCACTGCCATCAAGCTGACACCAACTCATAGCAACCCTACAGGGCAGAGTAGAGATACTCCTAAGGGGTTATGATTCTATACATCTGTATACAAGCAGGCAGACTCATCTTTTTCCCTCAGAGAAGCTGGTGGGTTTGAATTACCAAGCCTTTGGTTAGCAGGCAAATGCTTAGCTCAGGGCATCACCAGTGCTCCTCTGGACAGGGCCCAGGATGCCTTCAATATCTATAAGTGGGGTAGGTCTCCCTCCTATCCCATTTGAGGCAAGGGGATACTTTGATACTTCTGATCTTGTAGCAGACCTTCCCATGATTTAGTAGAATGTCTATATTGCCTGGGTCCCCACCCCCTGACCCACTGTGTCCACAAAAAGGTCGGGCTGGACACCCTTCTCCCATAGATCCTTTCATTGGCCATTGCTGAGCAGTCACTCACTGGGCCTGATCCCTGGGTTTGCAGAAACAGCTCAACCGAGTGATGCGCATGTATGAGAGGCGGATCGAGTGGCTCTCCTTGGCCAGCAGAAGAATATGGGGCACTGTCTATGAGAAAAGGTACCTTCTAATGAGAATATCATTCCTTTCCAGGGTCTGGGGTGTGGATCAGCACGGCTTTCTCTCATTCCTTCCCCGTCAGGAGCCATCACTTAGATTGCTGTGGCTCCTAGCTCTTGCCACATTGGTCTCCAACTCTGGCCACCTCATTTACAACCGAAGACTGCCAAGTCCCATGCCCCTGACTGCTTGTGTATCAGACCATTGTGATTCACAGCGTTTTCATTCGATCGTTGTGTTAGTCTGGGTAGACTAGAGAATCAAATTCATGGACACGCAAAAGTATATAAGAGAGAGTTATATATAAAGGGTAATTGTACATTAAGAAAGCATCCCAACCCAGTCCAGTCCAAGCCCATAAGTCTGATATTAGCCCATATGTCCGATATCAATCTATAAAGTCCTCTTCAGACTCACAAAGCACATGCAATGACGCCAAATTCTGGACAACCACAGGTCAGTGAGTAGAAAGTCTTTGGATCCAGTGGCGTTGTAAGCATCTCAGTGCTTGCAGGGGTCTCTATGTGGCTTCTCTGGCTTCAGAGGTCTGGTTGCATGAGGGTAGGTCCATGTGGCTTCTCCAGCTCAGGGCACTAGTGTAGTTCCATGTGTCTTGTCAACTGCTATGTCTCCCAGGGAGCGAACCGAGACAGAGGTGTCTCCCACTTCCAAGAAGGAAATCCCAGAGTTCCCAGAATTCTCAGGAGAAGGCCAGGCCCACCCAGAGGCCTTATGGGTTATATCTTGATTGACAGGCCAAACTCCACCCCTTCACTCACCAGCCTCTCAAATGAACACCAGATTATGTACCTCCCACAATGGTTTTCAGGAGTAAATTACCAGGCCTTTCTTCCAGTCTGTCTTAGTCTGGATCCTCCACTGAAGCCTCAGGTCCAGGGGTAGGATTTTTGCCTTCCTTATGGGACAGCTGGGTTTGGTGTCCAGCCTGTGTGCTCCTGCATAGAGGACACACTCTGACGGTGGAGACTTGCGGGCTGCTGCGAGTCTGGACCGGCGTCAGTTAGATTAGAGATCAGCCACCATCCAGCAGAGCCCTCGGAAGGAGAAGGCAGCTACCACCACCGTCACCAATATTAATACGATCATCCTCATGTCAGTCAGGATTTTTTTTTTTTTTCAGTTAAAAAGTGGCAGGCATCAAATGCAAATTGGCTCAAGTAAAACAGGGACTGGGTTCAGGTAACTGACCGTTTTAGGGCAGATTGGACAGCCGTCTTCAAGCAGGAGTGGACCTAGGGGCTTATTGTACAGGATTCGATCTTTCTTCATCTTTCAGTCGTTTTCTTTCTGATTCATCTTAGTTTCAGGCAAGCTGTGGGTATTGTTATTAATAGCATCTAATTCACAAACCAAGGATCAGTGAGGTTTGGTGACTTGGCTAAGATCATACAACTAGGAGGAAGTGCTGCTTTTTTTTTTTAAAGGAAGTGTTTTTTCAACCAAAGTCTTCCGACTTCAAATTCAGTGATTTTTTTCCACCTACTATCTGTATCACTTTCTCAGAATGAGAATTGGTGGGACATGGGACTTACATAAGAATTAAAGTAGAGGAGGAGAGCAGAGAGGGAGGGGAAAATGAGGAGGTGGCACCAAGGGCTCAAGCAGAAAGTAAATGTTTTGAGAATGATGATGGCAACAAATGTACACATGTGCTTGACACAATGGATGGATGGATGGATTGTGATAAGAGTTGTACGAGCTCCCAATAAAATGATTAAATAAAAAACAAACAAGCAAATGGGAAAAAAAAATTAAAAACAAAGAAAAACAAAGAATTGAAGTAGAAACAGAGAGGAAAGGAAAGTGGGACTGGCTGTCGTAACCAGGAGGACAGAATAAGGTCAAGCTACGCCTCTTGATTCCCGCAGTACATGCTTGCCTTGTTTCTGCTTTCTCGGCAAACACCTCAACCTATAATAATAGGTGCTAGTATTTCAAATGGGAGAGATGGGAATTTCGACTTCCACAAAGAGTTGCAGTCTCAGAAACTCACCGGGGCAGTTCTACCCTGTCCTATGGGATCGCTACGAGTCGGCGTCCACTCGATTGCAAGGAGAGTAGATGCAGAGAGAGAGTGGGAGTGTTTTGAAACATGGAACTCATCCCAATCCCTTAAACTTTATTCCATTACAGAACCTCCTGGACGACAAGATGTCATGATCCATGTCAATCTGCTGTTGTAAAACCCTCTGCTGGCCTCAAACTGTAGAGAAGTTCTTGGCCAGCCGTGAATCTAGCATGCCAAAATCTGCCCGGAAAAAGCTTTAAATAGTAAAATGGAACAAAATAAACAGTATCTAAGAGATTTGGTTCTCCTCGTAAAGCTTGTGTTTCTTTGTAGGGTGGTGATACTGCTCGATATCTCTGAGACCAATTCCATGTACATTATTCATATCCAACACTCCCTGCGACTGCTGCTTGAGGAGCAATTGTTGAACAAGGACTGCTTCAACATCATCGCGTAAGTGGCTCAGAGGTCACAGTGGGGAGGGTGTGTGTGTGTGTGTGTGTGTGTGTGTGTGTGTGTGTGTGTTGCTGTGCTGGGGCTTCTGGTATGTAGCTGGGAGACAGAGGTTAGGAGCACTCACTGTCCTTGGACCTCAGCAGGCTTATCACATTTGGGTGATCTTGTTTGGAGCATTGAATAATTAAATGGTTGTAGGATGGTCCCATTGGGGTAAAGGTGATAAGAGGCCCCAAAATACACTGCTTGATGAGCCAGGATAAAGTAACTTAGCCCATTGCCCCATTTGGCTTCCGAGCTGGTTAAACACAGAAGAGAAAAAGCAACACTAGCGGACATGCCCGCATGTCCGTCCTAAACTCAGTTATAGCAAGCCACAAGATTTCAAACATTTAGGACTCCAAATCTAAATTTAAGTTTTAGCTATGTGTGTGTATCTATACAGATATATATGCACACACATCTAGAGCAATTCTACGTTTGAATTCTACACACATGTATGTATATGCACATTTTCTTTTTAACTGTGATATAGGTACTAACGAAACATTGGGCATTTCAACAAGCTTCACACGTGTCATTTAGTGACATTATGTTTTTCAACAGCATCTTTCTCCTTTCTCAAGTTATACTAGCACTCTTCACAGAAGTTCGGAGTCCCCTAAGGAATGCCTCCTTTCCCCCTTCCTCCTGCCCGCTCCAAATGCTGATGCCTTCCCGGTGGTCTCTGGTTGTCTTGTTTCCCTTTGACCTCTCCGTGGTACAACTTGTTCATTCCCATGCTTTCAAACGTATAACCACCAGAAAGGAGGAAGAGAGGAATAACTCGGAGTGAAAGGAGTATTTTTTTTTCCCAATGGGAGTAAACATGACGACATTTAACAAGATCTAAAACAAGACATTTGCCATTTCAACATTTTTTACGTGTCTAATGCAGTGACATTAAGTGCACTCGCCCTGTTTCCACTCCTACCGTTTTTAACAGAAATTCAAGGTCACTGCCATCGAGTGCATCCCAATTCATGACCCTTCGTGACCCAACATGACTACAGTGAACATCGGTATAGAGACACCTGCTTGCAATAGCAGTGGGATTTCTGAGCCATATGGCGATTCTATGTTTAACTATTGAGGAAGGAGGAAGTTACCACCTTTTTACAATTTACTTAATTTTTATAAGCACAAAAACCAAACTCACTGCCATCGAGTCAATGCTGACTCATACCACCCCCTGTGGGTTTTGCAGTGGTTACTGTTCGGCTGCCTTGATCGGCAGTGCGAAACCACCTGCAGCTCCTCAGGGGGAAAGACTGGCCATTCTGCTTGCGCCAACAGTTACTGTCTCGGGGACCCCTGATAGGAGTCACCATTGACTTGATGGCAGTGGGTTTGGTTTTTTTAATTTTTATCAGAGGACTTTTTTTTTTAATATGAAGAGATGTAAACATGTGGAAAGGCAACGAGAAAGAGAAAGAGAGAAGTACACCCATGTGTGTACAGACAAGCACCTGTGGAACACGGTTCCAGAAGAGCTTGCCAGTGGGGAAGTCAAGAGCCCAGGTAGAGGAATGTATTAGTCTAGGTACTTTGGAGAAACAAATCCACAGCGACTCACGTATAAGAGAGAGTTTTATGCAAAGAAAATGTGCATCACGAAAACATCCCAACCCAATGCTGCCCAAGCCCACAAGTCCAACATTAACCCATTAACCCAACACCAATCCACAAAGTCCTCCACCTCACAAAACAGAGGCAATGATGCCGACTGCAGGAGGAAAGCTGAGTCCGTGAACGTGTAAGCATCTCAGCACTGGCAAGGGTCTCCACACGGCTGCTCCAGCACCCAGGGCTGCATCGGGGTAGGTCCATGCGGCTTCTCCTTGGGGATGTCTTGGAGGAAGTCAATCTTGCAAGCTGAAGCAGGGAACTGCTAAGGCAGCTGCACCCGGTGCAACCATCACAAAACAAGAGACCCGAGAACTAGAAAGGCGAGGCTTCACCACCCATTTATCCCTCCGCCTTTCAACCAGCACCACATGTGATTATCGGCCAGGCTGGCACAATTAACTAACTCAAGGAATTAGTCCAAAACCAGAGAGGAGCCTCTTGTGCCTTGACTAAATTCAAACGCACTGCCTTCCCCCCTCCCCCGTGGGTTTCCAAGATGTCAAACTTCACAGCAGTAGGAAAGCCTCATCTTGCTCCTGAAGAGAGAAAGGGGGTTTCAAGCTGCTGACCTTGAAGTTAGCAGCCTCACTGTATAACCCACAACCGCACTCCTACTGGTCCTTGATAAAGGAGATGAGCTCCCTTCTCAAAGATCTTAAATGCTATCTTAAAGGAAGAGTGCCATGCGTGTTATAAGAGGAACCGATGCGAGGAGAGCTTCAGGGAGGAATCCCTGACTCGCTGGGGCTGAGGACTTGACATAGAAAAGGAAGAAGGCACAGGTTGTGGTCAGCACAGCAGGAGGGAAGCTCCCCGTGTCTTTGTTGAGCACCCAGCTCTGCTCATACTTTGGATACGCCGTAAAGTGCAAGGAAATTCCATCACTGGCCCTGGTCAGTGAGATCATTCAGTTTGAGGGGGGAAGGTCTGGTGCCATAGTGGGTTATGCACTGAGCTGCTAACCATAAGATCAGCTGTTCAAGCCCACTAGTTGCTCCTTGGTAGAAAGATGAGGCTTTCTACTGTCCAGATTTAAAGTCTATAGGGTTCTATAGGGTTGCTCTGGGTCAAGATCAATGCCAGGGCAGCTGAGTGAGAAGTCTGCGGAGCCCAGAGGGCTGGATAGACGTGCTTCCTCCCTAAGAGCAAACCTTCTCTGCTTCTTTCAAAGGTTTGGAAGCACAATTGAAAGTTGGAGACCTGAGATGGTCCCTGTGAGCCATGACAATTTGCAAAGCGCCTGGCGGTAGGTAACTGCGGGCAGCCTTGGCCAGTGTTATTTCCTCCAACATCATCCCCTCTGCCCTCCCACAGATGTAGGCAGAAGACAACTGCTTTCCGTCCCCTTCCCTCCTGATCCACAGGAGCCTCTTTCTCTGTGAGACCACGGTAGCCTTCTCTTTCAGCATCGCCTCCTCTGCCTCCCCAGGTGGGCCCTGAGCCTGCAGTGTCAGGGCAGTAGGAATGTTCTCAGTGCCCTTCGGAAGGCCGTAGAAGTGGACTTCAAGGACAAAGATAAACATCAATTGCAAGGCCTCTACCTCTTCACTGGAGGCATCCCCGACCAGGATATGGTGGGTAGGCAGGGCACTGGGCCCCGCACCCTTAGTGACCCCCATGTCTTCCCCTAGCTGGAAGCCCAGCAACTAGTTGGTCCAACATTTCCTTTCTAAACCAGTACTGCTCAAATTGGAACTTGTTAAAATGCAGATTCTGATTGAGTTGATCCGGGACCAGGCCCTAGAGTCTGCATTTCTAGCAAGTTCCAGGGGATGTCAATGCTGATGGTCCACGGACCACAACTGGATATAATAGCCTGGGTTTCCAAGTCGCTCCTCGGGCCACAACTTATTCGGTGGTTGAAATTGTGGCCCAGGCTTGTGTGTTTCTGTCTTGAGGGCTGAGTACTAGACGGGGCCCACCGTGGGCCCTCCAGAAAGATTTGTTGGGCTGAAATGGCCTGAAGCACAGCCAGGAGTCTCCCCTGCTCTCTCTGCCCACAGTCCATGCTCAGTGCTTACATGACGGAGGCCTGCGCCGGCTGTGACCTCCAGCTGAATGTGTGCCTATTCTACGTGGGTGAGCCAGAGCTGGACAGCATGCCCCCTGCCTGCTACGCCAGCTGCACAGACACAGCCGATGCCTACAGGGAGGCCACCCGGGCTGCTGGGGGACGCTTCCACTGGTTTGGAGATACAGGTGTGTGCTTGTTGGCTGACCCTTCCCCCTCTCTTCCCAGTCAGCTGTCTTAGCATCGGCAGAGCTCCCGTAAGCAGTAACTGTGTTCCAGGGACTCTGTATGTGAAAATCACATTGGAACATGTCGTTGGTACCTGCCCCGATTCATGGAATGACTGTCCCGCACCATCCCCACGGCCTATGGCTTGGACTGTTGTTATATATAGGGTTTTTGCTGATTCCGTTTTTTGGGAGTCGATTTCCAGGCCTTTCCCCTGGATCCAGTTCAGTCTGGAAGCTCCATCGAAACCTGTTCCGCGTCATAGCAATGTGTACTACTCTAAATTAGTTTAGAGTGGTAGAGCTGAAGAGAGCCCTAAAGAGCCCCTAATTTAGTGTTTCTTAAAGTGATCTGTTCACAATAGGATCCAACAAGATAAATGTAGGAAATTTGCTAAGGAATGTGTGTGTGTGTGTGTGTGTGTGTGTATTAGATAGGGTTTCCATTTCAGACAATCAATTTTGTATTCAACAGCTTAATCTACTTATCAATGCCCCCAATAGCTTCTCTTCTCCCCTTTATGGAATACTATCGACCCTTCACCCAAGTTAACCTCTGCTACTCTGTAGCCGATTGCTTTGTCTTCCCTGCTTTGTCTCCACTCCCTTGGTAGCTATAAAGGTCTGTTTCCTTTGGTATGAAAACCTCTGTCTTGATTTTTCCTTTATAACAGTGGTCTCAAACTATAGTTGTCCTTTTGTGATGAACTAATTTTGAGCATGATGTTCTCACTCAGCATATCGTGTCTGGACACACATATGAGCTACTTTGCCCGTTCATCACTATTCATAAATGATGACTACTATTCAAGTGCATGCATGTATCAAAGTTCTTGATCCATTCTTCTATTGTGGGCCCTTAGGTTATTTCCATCTTCCTGCTATTGTAATAGTACTGCGATGAACATGGGTGTGTGTATGTCTGTCTGTGCTACGGCTCTTACCTCTTCAGGGTATACTGTAAAGGGATTGTTGGATGGAATTTCTATGCCTAGCTGTTCGAGGGAATGCCACGCCGCTTTCTACAGTGATTGCGTATTATTTGTCCCACCTGCAGAATGAAGTTTCCCATCTCCTCACACCCTCTCCAGCATTTGTTACTTTCTGTTGTTGTTTTTAACTTTGTTGTCAATGCCAGTGTAAGTCGATATCTTATTTATCATAATATATATATATTATGACTTTAATGTGCTTCCCTCAGATGGTTAATGATCAGATATGTTTGTTGGCCACCTGAAGGTCTGCTTCAGTGGACTGGCTGGTCATGTCCTTTGCCCATTGTAATGAGATCCTTCATCATTTTCTTGTTGAGATGCTATAGTTTTCTGTAGATTTTAGAGATTAATCCTCTGTCCAATGTGTCATTGCCAAAGAGATTTTCCCCATCTGTGGGATATCCTTTTCACTTTTTCGATGAAGTCTTGTAATAGACCGAAGTGTCTTATTTTCAGTAGGTCTCAGCCATCTGATTTGCCTTCTGCTGTGTCCGTACTTCATTATGTTTGGCAGAGTGCCTGTGCCCTGTTTAGGGTCCTTAAGTTTACCCCTACTTTCTCGTTAATAATTTTTATAGCTCTTTAATTTACATTTAGGTCTTTAGTGCATCTTTAGTTTGCTTTTATATATGGTGTGAGGTATGGGCCCAGCTTCATTCTTCTGCCAATGGAAATCCAATTTTAACAGCAACATTTGTTGAAATAAACTATCACTTCCCCCATTTCATGTTTTACATCCCTTTGCCATTATCTCTAGGTAGACCCTTTTATTTCTGAGTTCTCTATTTCTGAGTTCTCTATTTCTGTTCCATTGGTCTATGTATCTATTATTGGACCACTACCTGGCTGAGTTCTCCTACATTATTCTACTTTTTTTTTTAAAGCAATCCCACAGAGGCCATATATTGTGGTTGAGTAAGAACATAAGGGTAATGAAAACAATATGAGCCATGTTTTAGAACTATATTCATAATAAAGAACACTTAAAAAGGGGGGAGTGGAGGAGCTCTTGCCCTCCAATTCTCACTTCAATGGTCATTTCTAGTTGAACACACTTTGTAGCAGAGCAATGTGATCTCCTTTCAGCATGATCCGTCCCAGTTGTTTTCTTGACTTTGTTTTAGAATGAATCTCTTCTGCATCATCTAATACAAAGTTCATGTACTCATCAAAGCTGACGAGACAACCCTCTATCCCATATTCACTTGCTCATAGAGCCATATCTGAATCCGGGATCTATTTCGCAAGTATCTGAAGATCAGGTTGATGGGCTGCACCATCCCCTTGTGTTCTCCCTGGCCTTGCTGTTGATTCTCTGTCTAAAAGACTTGCTTTACTATTTATTTTTGTATTTTTCACAAATGCCTTTAATTCCTGCATGTCTGGAATTACCCTATTTCCCCCTTCATAATTGAGGGATAATTTTGCTGGATATTAGATTCTTGCTGTCAATTTTCTTCTTTCAGAGTTTAATATATGTCATTCCATTGTCTTCTTACCTGCATGGTTTCTGCTGAAAAACCCAAGATTATAATTATTGCTTCTCCTTTGTTGGTAACTATTATTTTTTCCTGAGCTACTCTGAAGATTCTCTCCTGGTCCTTGATATTAGAAAGCTTGACTATCATATGTTGGATTATTTTCTTTTTCTAAAAATCATTTTATTGGGGGCTCGTACTGTGCTTATCACAAATGCATCCATGTGTCAAGCACATTTGTACATTTGTTGCTATCATCATTCTCAAAACATTTGCTCTCCACATAAACCGCTGGCATCAGCTCCTCTTTTTCCCCCTCACGAACCCTTGATAATTTATCAATTATTTTGTCATATCTTACACTGTCCGACGTCTCCCTCCACCCACATTTCTGTTGCCGTCCCCAGAGAGAAGGTTATATGTAGATCCTTGTAGTCGATTCCTCCTTTCTACCCCACCTTTGCTCCATGGATAATTTTCTTTTGAGGTTTATTCTGTTTAGGGTTCACTCTGCTCTTGAGTAGTTATTTTCTCCTCTTTTATGCTATTAGGCAAGTTTATTCCAGGATTTTTTGGACAATTTTCTCTGTGGATTTTATTGTTTGTTCATGTTCCAAAATCCCAGTGAGGCTTACATTGCTCCTCTTGATAATGTCCCACATAATTCTTGTACTTTCTTCAGATACTTTTGCTCTTTCTGTGGGTTGTTCTTGTAGCTTGGAATCCAGAGGTTTGTCTTCAAGCTCACTAATTCGACCTTCATTGCTTGAACCCTACTGCTTGTATATGTGAAAGTGGTGTCTAATTCTACTAATTTACTGTTAATCCTATGTATTTCTTTTTGTTTCTTGTTGTAAAGTTCCTAGTTTTTCTACAATTCTCACTATTTGCCTCTACCCTTTGAATGTATCTGAACCTCGTTCTTCTGAATTCTTTCTCTCGTGGTTCCCATGCCTTTTGTTCTTTAGGAAGTCCCTCTGGCTCTGTGGATCAGTTGCATATTTATGCTGGCCTGTCTTGCTTCTTCGTGTGATCTGAGATGGCTGCTTCTGGGATATCACGATGCAACTGCTGGGGGTGGGAGGATGGTTGTGTGGGGCAGGGGGACAGTGAATTATGTCAAGTGGTGGGTCCAGGAAAGGAATGACAGAAACCACAAAGCAAAAAGCAATCAATAAATAAAATAGCGCAGTTTGCATGCGCGCTCTCCTCAGCCCTGGAGAATAGCAGGGTGTATGTGGCCAGGGTCCTGTTTTGCATGCTATTTGGTCCTGTTTTGCATGCTATTTGCATGCTATTTGGAAAGCACACAGGTGGTGGAATGAGAAGTCACACTCAGCCAGGCCAGCTTCTATTTGTATTCTTAGCCACTGACTCTAGTATCTCTCAAATGAACCACCAATATTCCCCACAGACATTTGATATTTTAAATAATACTGTGTGTTTTTACTCATGAGGTAGCAGACCCTTTGCTCCAAACCTTCCTTTTCATGGAGGTAAGAGCTCTTGGCTGGATGCCAGGCCCTGGGTCCCCAGACCTCACTCTTGGTAACCTCACTATATCTACCCATCCTCTCACCACTGGACAGTGTAGGTAGGGGTGGTCACTGGTAAGCTCCGCTATGTGCCTCCAGAAATGGGGCACCTCCAGGGACCATGGCATTTCCCCATGCTTTGTTTCCAGGCATCTATGAGAGCGATGACATCAACGCCATTGTGTCTGAGATGGAAAAGGCTTTCCAGTACTCTCAAAAGGTGAGCCCTGGGCCCTTGTGCATTGACAAGCAGGCTTCAGATGAAGCACTGGTGTTTCTTAGAAGAAACTTGGGTTAGCTCATCTACTGTGCCTACCTGAATCTCCTTCCTAAAGCTCACTCCTCAGCGAGGGGCCTTTGCACCTCCCATCTCCTCGGCCTGCTCTTCCAGTTCCACATCAGAAACGGTATCTGGACTGGAGGTCCGGATCAGAAAAAAGATCTGGGCAGGAGAATGACTTATGGACTAGTTTAGGCCCTGGGGCTGGAGAAAGAGCTTGTGAACAAGCATGATCAAGGCAGGGAGGAAACTCGGAGAAAAACACATCATGCCTTCCTGGTTTTTTTGTTAAAATAATATTACAAGTTTCTTTTTTTTCTGTTATAAAATGAAAGGATCCCTGGTGGTGCAGTAGTTAAGTGCTCATCTGTCAGTCAGAAGGTGGGCAGCAAAAACCTACCAGTCGCTCCTTGGGAGACGGATGTGGTGGCTGGCTCCCATAAAATGCATCTGTGTGTGTCTGTGTGAGCGTGCATATTCGTGCATTACTGTGTGAGTGCCTGTGTGTATGTGCATGCACGTGTGGGCATGGATGGATATGTGCGTCTCTCTGGCCACGGCCTGGAGGCACACAGTGGTCAAGGTGCTGCTAACTGTCCCACCCCCATTGCAGTGTGCCTTGCTTGTGGCCTCCCTGAAGAACCAGTCAGGAAAAGACCTGGCAAGCTCTGCTCTCCCTAAAGAACAGCCCAAGCTGCTCCACCGAAGAAGCCAGCCCCCAAAGCTCCAGCCTCCCAAGCCCACAGCCCTCTCCATGGCCAGAATGGTTTGACTCCCCTTGCTGATAACACGTAGAGGATTTCCCCCCCATCGTGTCTCCTGGTCTTTCCTAATTCTCTATGTAGCTGGGGTCAAGGCCCCTGGGCCCAGGGCCAGCGGGGTGGGGCAGGCTCTTCCATGGTAAGCAGCCCAGGTTGCCTCCAGCCCTGACCTCCAAGGGAAGGAATGTCCCTGAGCGACCTGTTTCCCAGCTATGGGGGACCTCTGACCTCTTCTCCCCAACCCAACTTAGGTTCTGCTTGGCTATCCCCCTTTGTTTTCCAGCCCCTGTGCTAAGGGCCCCAGAGTGTGGGCACCCACCATTGCATCTAGGCCTATCAGCCCAACCAAGAGGGCCTCTCAGGGTGATTGAATGAAAGCATCTAGTGGGCGTTTGCTGTTGCTGCCCACACCTTAGCGTGATGGGAGCAAGTGCCTGGGGGAGGGCCTGTGCCTGCCAAGGCCTTCCCTATCACAGCCTACCAAAGCTGTCCTGTCTACAGTGCTCTGTGCAATCTGGAGTCTTCCCTGCGGCGGTGGCTGTGGGAAGAGGCCCGCGTCAGCAGTGCTTGGTAGCAAAGGGGGTTCTTCAATATTCACTGACCACAGACACTTGTGCACACCATCGTCTGGCTGAAGGCACCAGCCTCCCAGGGCTTTCTGCCCACACTCTCCCTGACCCCGTTCAAAATACGCACCAGCCCAGACAAAGGCCCTCCTCCTGCCTCCTCCTGTGGCAGAGCCGCCAAATCCCAGCGCCTTTTCCTGGGACTTCGGTGGTTCCTAATCCGACCACGCGAAAGCCTCTGATATTGGTCCTCAGGGCACAAGGCCAGAGGCTCCCCGAGTGGCAGTGCCCAGGCCTTTCTCATGGCACCTCATCCCGAGATCTCCTCAGCTGTCTCGGTGTCCTGGGAAACCATCTCTGTGTACCCTTGGTGCCCAGTAGTGACGGGGCTCCTGCCTCCACTCTGAGGTGCTTGCTAGAGCACAAACATCACCTGCATGGTTGTTTGTCGTGGGGGAGGGTCCGAAATCCCAGTAGGAAAAGGACCAGGTAACTGATAGGAAAGTTCTGGCCAATCCTCTCGGCTGTCCTAGCAGACACTAGCAAACGCTCTCTCTTCTCTCTCTTTTTCTCTCACACACACACACACACACACACGTACTTTGTCACCTCCAAACCCAGAGTTCCCTTGGGGCCTTCTGCAAAGATTCGTAACAGACAGGTTGAGGCTGGGATGACTGGCTTACTGCCTGCCACAGAGACCAGGGTACTGATGGGAAAGACGGCCTGTCTTCTAGAACGTTAGAGATGATTCTGACAGAGAGAAGACTTCCTCCTCGAAAGCTCTGAAATGGCGTCCGCTCAGTGGCAACGCTGTCTTCCCACCAGGTAAGGCACAGCCATGGTCAGGCTAGGGTGTGGGGGTAGGTGAAGGATGACCCAGACAGGCCCTGGTGCCGTAGCAATTTCTGTGTCAGGAACAAGCCACTAAGATGCTCAGCGATCACGAGGCTCCTTCATCTCCCAGCCCTTCTGCTAAAATTGTCCCCGATCAAGCTTCCAACAATTGTGTGCAATAGGCACTCTATTCATTTCCCATGCTACAGAGAAAGCCGCCCAGGCTCTGAGGAGCTAAGGAGAGCATGCCAGTTGGTTGGGACAAGGCATCAGTGTTTTCATGAAAAGACTCAGTTCATTGGACCGAAGACCATACATCTAATTTCTAATGTAAAAGCTATAACAGCGTGATTTGGAGCGTGCTTCTGGAATCAGCAAAACCCAGGCTGGAATCTAGCATCTCCTAATTGCCTCTGAGGTCCACTGGTCTCATCTATAGACTGGGGTGCTGAGGATAAGCTAAGGCCATGTGCAAAGCCCTTAGCACTCAATCTAGTGGCTTTCTTCTCCCTGGTTGTAATTGAGTGGATTCTAACCAGCTGCATCAGAGCAGAACTGGAGGTCTTCAATGGCTGATTTTTCAGAAGTAGATCATAGGCCTTTCTTCCAAGGCACCTCTGGATGGACTTCAACCTTCAACCTTTCCATTAGTATGTGAATCATTTGTACTGCCCACTATGCAGGCATGGTAAATGATAGCTCTAGTTACTGCTGATCTAGGCAAGGTCAAGGGCTTTGGGGGCATCTCAAGTCCACCTTGGACAGGAAAAACGAGGTTGAGAAGACCCTGAGTCAGGCAGGTCAAGTTTGCCACACGCAGAGCTGATAGGCCAATGTCCCCTAGCTCCAGCCCACTCGGGGGAAGAATGGACTACAGAACAAAAGAGGAAAAAGAAGCCATCACGGGAATCGGCGACATCTCTTTTGATGTTCTATACCGACACAGGGAACACTGTGGGTAAGTTGGAGGCCTGCACCTCACACAAATGTCTGGGCGGTCCACCAGTCTTTGGGATCCATCCCAGGATGGCAACGTCCCTGGATCAGACCCAGCCTCCAACAACTCAGTTCTCCCAGCCAGGGAAATGCACCTACGAAGACTTGATACTGGCAAGGAACAAGCATGTCAATATTGAATATCAGGTCCCGAGGTCCTTAGACTGGCACTCAGGTTCCACCCATGATGGGCAGAGTGCTCAGCTCTGAGGCTCCTTGGGAAGAGAATGGAGATGATTCTTTTGGGCCAGTCTGAAGTCAGAGGACACAACCCAATGACTGAGGCTGTGAGAAATGGAGGGGCATCATGGTTCCGTGTTGGCAAGGTCAGCAGTTTGAAACCACAGGGCACTTATGAGAAAAAGACAGGGTTTTCTACTCTTGTAAAGATGTGCCGTCTCAGAAATCTACGGGGGCAGCTCTCCCCTGCCCTGTAGGGTTACTGTGAGTCAGAATCGACTTAATGGCAGTGAGTGAGAAATGGAGGCGTTCCAGGGGTGGCATGGGAAGCCCATTGGCCCACTAGTTGCCCTGTGGGAGAAGGATGAGGCTTTCTACTCCTGTAAAGATTGGCAGTCTTGGCACCCCAACAGGCCAGTTCTCTTCTGTCCTGTAGGATCACAATGAGTTGGAATGACCTTGATATCAGTAAGTTTGGGGGTTTTAGTGGGAAGAGGGTCCTATTAATAGCCTTCCATCTAACCACCTCCCTTTTCTACCTCTCCATTTATTCCACCTAAGGAATTGCACAAACGAGTTGGTTGACAGGGAAATGGATCTGTAAAAGAGAAAAGTGGGAGAAGAATTGCACCTTGCACAAGAAACTCTTGTTTCTCCTAGGCTCCGTGTACAAGAAGTACCCTCAAGGAAAAGGTATAAGAAGAATTAGCCATACTATAGAGTTGCCCAGAAAAGATAAAATTTGCTCCAGCCAAGAGGTACGTGCATGCTCCGTAGGCACTAATACCATTCACCAATTTTTACTTGTGGGAGGCGGGGGGAGTGATGATAAATATACTTAAAATGATTGCTTATTGTGGGGCTGGGATAAGGGTTCATTTAAAAGACCCTTTCTAGTTAAAGAATAGGCTAAACTTTTACTTATAAATAATTAAATAGTCTTTTTTTTAAAGACTCTTTCTAACCAGGAGACCAGGAACAAGTAACTCCCAACCGCAATGTCCTTGTCTGTAAATTAAAGGCAATCGTACTCATCCAACTGAACGACATGAAGCCTGCTTTGGAGTAGGTCTTGTGCAAAGTGCAGTTTGCACAACTGTGTCTTGTGCAAAGTCATGGGTGTTGTAGAAGCAACGGTAGACACTGGATTAGGGCATGTAGGTGCTCAATGAATCATGCTCCCTAAGCCCATTATTTCGTGCACATCTCTCTCTAGAGCCAGGGGAGGAATCTGCAGGCAAGGATGCTGAATGAGGGTCTAGGAATCTGAAATAGAATTCAGAAGAGTGTTGGAACCCACAGACAACTATCTGACATGGAATTCAGAAATGAGGTTTATAAAGAAATGAATCAGACATTCAGTGAGGTCTGAATTCTCTGAGATCTTGGCTCTTGGCTTTATTAAAACCAAAAAACCCAAAGCCACTACTGTGGCATCCATTATAGCTCATAGTGGGCCTACACTTTCCTGCAGAGTGGCTAGTGGGTTGGGACCACCACCGTTTACTTAGCAGCCAAGGACGTTAACCATGGTGACACCGGGGCTCTTAATTGGTTGAGTTGATTTTATTAGTTCTCCTTTATTTTAAAGTGGGTAGCCAATTATGGGCTCAAGAAACTGAAGTTGGAGATTTCCAGACACATTGGTCCCAGGTGCACTCATCCGAGGTCAGCCCAGGGATCGGCATCAGCCAAGCACTGCAGTGTCTTCCCCAGCGTCGAGATCAATGTAAGTCACCACTGTTTTTCCTCCCCAAGGCTCAACTCTCCTTAGCTGTAAACTGTAGTGTATTGTAGAAAACCCCACGTCAATGCGAGACTGCATAGCTATGGTCCTGTTATTAAGATGCCCCACTACCGGGAAATAGAATGCCCTCATAAGAGTAGATGTAAAATCCTGTTGGAAGAGAAGCCAACCCCACTGTGCCTGAGACCATGCTGGAGTGGAAGGATCTTTGGAGTGAGAACCAGCGCAATTACTGAGGACGTAGACGGGGCTGAAGTTGTCACCATTAAGAACGCGATGCTTCCCATAGCGCCAGAGTCCTGTTAGGATGGTGAGATGCTCACAGTGCGTAGGGGAAGGAAATCGGGAGGAGCAGGACATGAAGAACATTCTCATCTTTTCTTGTTCGTTTTTTTGTGGGGTGGGGATGTTTTACATTGCTTTGACCCTCGAACTTTAGACCAACATGAAAAGCTAAACATGCTGTTTTCAAAGCTCCCCGTTTTGCTCCTTGCCCTTTGACACGCATCTCTCAACATCAGGAGACTCTGCAAAATGACAAAAATAGCCCCCAATGTAAACACCCTGCCAGAATTTGGTAATCGTTTCATAAACCTTCCCCTTCTCCTGCCAAAACAATCTTTTCATTGGAAATTTCTGAACATCGCCCCCACCGTGGGACTTAGTATTAAGGGTCTGCTTTAAATTGGGAGTACCGTGCTTTTTACTGAGCTGGGGACCCACTGGCCACCAAGCCATCATCCTCAAGCCCCATGCCTTACTTCCTGGCAGTGAGTCATTTCTGATTCATAGTGCCCCAGGCAGGATTTCCGAAGCTGTAAACCTTTACCGGAGGAGATAGCCTCTACTTTCTCTCATGATGCAACTCCTAGGTTTGAACTACAGACCTTTTGGTTAGCAACCCAACCCTCACCCAGTAATACCACCAGGGCTCCTTCTACTCCTTACTCCTTCTACTAGATTAATAGGAGAAAAAATTCTAAATGTAGTAAATGTTATACATTTATTATATATATAAATGTATGTGTGTGTGTGTATATATATATATATAATGTTTTGGGAATTATTATCCACAAGTGGAATTAACTGTTAAGGTTGTTGATGGAGAAATGTATGAGGTGGTGTGTGTGTGTGTGTATGTTTGCCTTCACTTTCTGTAATGCAGGGCCTGGTACGACATCTTCAGTGGACGCTCTGGGAAATCGAAACGTACATCACACATATGGAGAAGGTGATGAAGCGCTACATCCAGAGGCTACAGTGGCTGCTGTCTGGTGAGTAAAGGGTATGAGGGACACCGGGTCACTCTTCCCAGACCAGGGACTCAGGAGATGTCAGGTCAGTAGGTTGGGTCAGGTTGACCATTCAGGTCCAGCATGACTTGGCTGTGCAGTGGTCAGGCTAGGTGCTGTTTGTCTAGGACTGAGGGACAAGGAGGTGGTGCACAGGCCAATCGAGCCCATGGAAACCCCGACTTCAGGGTCCCACCTTCTGGGGGCTTTCATGAAGGTGGAGATGGTGAGAGAATTCTGTTAGAGGGAAAGCCTTCTTTACAAACAGCACTAAGACCTCCTGGGGTGCAAATAGCCAGGCTGAGGAGAGTCAAGTTTACACCCAGAAAAAGGTAAGCAGTCATTGAGGGAGATGGTCTGAAGCACCCACTCCAAGAGTCAGAGCGAAGAGCAATTAGGCTCTGGGGTCTGGAAGGAGTCCTGGGACAAGCACAGGAAAAGAGACGGCCTTTTACAGAGGACCCACAGGTGGCCCTGTGCAAGCCCATTAGGTCCAGTCGTCTGCAGTAGAAGCTGATATACCCATATATACTCGAGTATAAGCTGATCCAAATATCAGCCGAGGCACCTGATTTTACCATAAGAGCTGCATTAAAAATGTGCTTGGAAATGGCTTATGCTCGAGTATATATGGTAATCAACCCTTGGGCAGTAGGTATAGCAATGACTGCTGCTTTCCAAAGCCTTTCTGGAGTAATTGATGATCTTTTGGTCTCATATACATTGTTTTTAAAGGCGCATCATACTCACAGGAAATGTCCTTTATTTTGTGTGCCAATCTGTAATTTGACTAACAGTGACCTCAAGAGATCATTTCAGTTCAAGATTTAAGTAATATCTCAGGGCAGTAGTCTCAGGGAGTTCCCTAATCACAATGGGTCCAGTAAGCGTGGATTTTTTTAAAGAGTTTGGATTACCAGGGTCCAAAGGAATCCTAGTGTTGCATTGAGTTAAGCATTGGGCTGCTAACCACAAGATTGGCAGTTCAAACCCACCACTTCCTCTGTGGGAGAAAGATGAGGTTGTTGCTCCCCTGATGACTCAGTCCAGGGAACCTTAAGGAGAAATCCCACTCTTGCTAACAATCGGGATCAACTCTGCGGTAGTGAGTTTGGTGTTTTGTTTGATCGAATCTGGGCGTGTCCCTGATTAGAATAATAGGGTAGTGGTAACGGGTGCCATTTGGTCCTTCTGGTCTCAGGATAGATGAGGATTCAACAGCATTTTCATTGTGCATTTAGTATGTCTTCCCGGCCCAATTGTAAGCCTCTTGAGGGCAGGGATCCCCTCTTGTTCACTACTATGCTTTTCCCGCCACACAGTAGATACTCACTTCATTTCTGTGACCACTTAACTATATGCTTTCGAGCATCTCTCCGAACCCCAAACCATACCATGACACTCTGAGTCCAATCGCTTCGTTTTAGAGATGGGGAAACTCCATCTCAGGGGGATTATAACCACTTACGCAAGTCGTCACGGGCAGAAGCAGTGCTGAAATCTCTGTCTCCCAAAGACCAGACTCTGAGCTCCTCCACCTGTGGCCCATTGCCCCTCCAGTAGCACCAGAGACCTCCTCTCCATCGCTGTGGAGCCGACTCCGGCACATGGTGACCCCATGCGCATCAGAGCAGAACTGTGCCCTACCGGGCTTCGAACGGCTGATAGCTGTTTCAGAAGTCGATCACCAGGCCTCTGGACTCAAACTTCCAGCATTTCACACCCCGACACTTCTGTCATTTGAACATTCTCCCAATGGAGTGACATCTGTTCAGTTGTCAGTCCGGTGACAAGTGTTGCGACAATGGAGGATCTAATAGAGACAGTGAGGAAAAACACCCAGAACAAACACACACACACACACACACACACACACCTTCTCATCCCTTCTCTGCCTTTGTTCCCACCCTTCTCGGAGCAGGGAGCCGCCGACTGTTTGGCGCCATTTTGGAGAGCAAGGTGTGCATCCTGCTGGACACGTCAGGGTCCATGGGCCCGCACCTGCAGCAGGTGAAGACAGAGCTGACACTGCTGATCTGGGAACAGCTGAGGAAGCGCTGCAAGAGGTAGGAGTCAGGGCTCGGGCGTAGAGGGCTAGCTCGTTTCCCCGGCCCGGGCGGTGCGCTCCTCACATACTTTATTGGAGTGAGAGGAACGCAGTGTTCTGCTGCAGAAATAAAGCAATTCTTGGAACTCCATCTCAGGCCCTGGGACAAATGCAAGCAGAGCAAAGAACTGTCATGTTGTCTGAAAATGCACTTTTTGGTTGAACTTATTATTATTATTATTTTAAAGTAGGGGATAGTTCTTTCTATCCAGAAAGAGACTCTGGTCCCAGGCAGGGACTCAATCGTGCCTTTATAAAGAATAAGCAATGATTAAGGACTTCGGGTGATGCAAGTAGTTGTATGTTCAGCTGCTGACTGCGAAGTCAATGGTTCAAGCCCACGCAAGGGTGCCAAGAGAAGAAGGCCTAGTGATCTGTTTCAGTATAGATTAAACCCAAGTCCACTGCCATTGAGGGGAGTTGGACTCAGAACGACTGTCAATAGGTTGTAAATCTTTACAGAACCAGCCTCAACTTTTTCCCGGGGAACAGCTGCTGGATTGGAACCACCAACCTTGAGGCGAGCAGTCCAACACTTCCCCAACAGTGCCACCAGGCTCCGTCAGTAGATCTGCCACATGCAAGAAAACCATAAGGGGCAGTTGTGCTCTGTGACAGGAGGGCCTAATAAGTTGGCATCAACTTGATGGCACCCAATAGCAACGCTATTGCTCATTGACCACTTTCTAGGTGCCACCCACTTTAACTCAAGATTTGATTTGATCCTCACAACAGCCCTATGAGGCATTGCTATTGGATTGTCATGTTCTAGCTAACGAGACTAGGATTTAAAGAAATTAAAGCTTAAGCTAGAATGTAAGTGATTTACTTGAGATCCCATGTCACATAACCAGTCAATGACTGCCCTTGGATTTGAACCTATTTCTCTCTGCATCCAGGATCCTCAGTGTGTACCTTCTCATTCTCTGATAAGCGTGAATAGTCTCACTAATATTGTGTCACCTGGAATTCAGCATAGACCAACCTGATATATCCAATCTCCGTCTCTCCTTCTCTGCTCCCCACTCCTCTTCCCGTCTTCTCAGTTTTAACCTGATCAGCTTTGCAGATGGCATACAGCCATGGCAGGACACTCTGGTGGCGACCACAGATAAAGCCAGTCATGAGGCTATGCAATGGGTGACCCACCTAGAAGCTCGGGGAAGCACCTCAGTCTTGCAAGTCTTAGCGGTGAGTCCCACCACTGAACCCAAACCCCATAGTCTCACCTATCCTGATATTAAGAAGGAGACCTTCCTTTGGCATGGTCCTTTAGAACTTACAAAGCATGTTAGCGACTCTGTGGTCCTGGTGGCGTAGTGGGTGGGAGAAAGATAAGGCTTTCTATCCCCATAAAGATTTAGTCTGGGAAACCCACCGGAGTATTTCTACTCTGTCCTACGGGGTCCCTGTGAGTCAGACTCAACTTTATGGCAGTGAACTTGGTTGGGGGCTTTCGTATTTACAGAGCTTATCACCCTTTGTCCATCTTCCCCTCAACCTGGTGAGACAGGGATTCTCTGGAAGTGAGTTCTGGGTTCTGGTTAGCCCCTGGCCATCCTGAGCGGGGCAGATGGTTAACTGCTCAGCTGTTGATTGAAAGCTTGGAAACTCACATTCCCTTTGGAAGAAAGGCCACGGAGCAGTTCTGCTCTGACACACGTGACGTCTCCATGAGTTGGCGTTGACTCAGTCGTCGCTGGTTAGGGGTTCGCCCCTGCCCTTGAACTCCCCATTCTCATGCTCTTTCAGAAGGCTTTCCATTGTCCACAAGTGGAAGGATTGTACCTCCTGACGGATGGGAAACCGGACACGAGCTGCAGCCTGATTCTAAGGGAAGTCCAAAGTCTCAAAGAAAAGAGACATGTGAAGCTGCACACCATTTCCTTCAATGGCTCAGACAGGTGAGAAAGGAAACGCTGGCTGAAATGATTTTCCCCTCTCCCCTGGCCCCATGCCTATGGGGAAAGTCTGAGCTGCTGCGCCCAATCAAGGGACTCCCATTAGACATTGACCTCTCCCAGGCCCACAGCTTATGAACCAGTGCTGTTGCCCTAGGAGCTAGGCATTCCACCCCTGCATGGAAGTTCCTATCTCCACCCCTCACCCCCACCCCCACCCCCCGCCCCCCATCAACAGGTCCTCTGATCTGCAGCAGGGAAACAGATTTACAATGATTCACCTACAGCCAGGTTTTATCCTTCCTGCAGCTCTGGTCCTGGGAGCGCATTTATGAACGTTGAGGGGAAAGCTACAGGTGAAAACCTAAGAGATTCATGCAGCATTGTTCTGGTTGTTTCTGTAAAAGGTCACCTTCCAAAGAATATTTGTTAGATCAGAGAGAGTTTGTTCCTTCAAGGGCGGTGGTGGGGGTGTGTTGGGGTGTTGGGGGGGGGGGCAAAGCTATTATTAAATAACAAGTGACAAGACCCAAATTACTTTAAAACTAAAAATTATTATATAATGATATTATTTTAAAACTGTGATGACCAGAGTAAGTTAGGGGCTTACTTCATCTGCTGGCTTAAGCCATAAGCTCCCTAGAGAACATGCTGTACTCCTTCCTGGCCCAACGGATAGTCAGCATTGGATCCATGCCTAATCAGTGAGTGGGAGCTGGCATGTACTGGCCGTGGTCTTTGAGGGAATCCAAGCTAAATGGGGTCACCAATGTGGTGAACCCCAAAAGTTAGCAGCATCTGACTGGGAAAATGGCTGGGGATGCAAATGGAGGGCAATGGCACAAAGCCCACTGGCTCCAAATTCCATTACCAGTACAAGTTCTCCTACATCCATCAGCCTTCAGCTGGTCCTCGTCCCTGAATTTAGGGAAACTTGCCTGGGGAGCTGGCTGCTGCCCAGTCACTGAGCCTCACCCCAGCCTTCTGTTCCTTCCTGCTAGGACAGCGGTTGAATTCCTGAGGAAGCTGGCCTCCCTCACTGGGGGGCGCTATCACTGCCCTGTCGGGGAGGACACACTCTCCCGAATGCATGGCCTGCTGACCAAAGGCTTCGTTGATGAAAGGGTAGGTGGTGGGGCTGCTGAAGGCTGATGAAGTGCCCGACAAACTTCAACAGATGGTTGTTTCCTCCTAACGAAAAAGACCCCGCTTCTCTGGGAAGACAACTCACTAGGAAAAGCGTGTTTCCCTGCTGTTCTCCTTGTGGGCTGGTTGTCCTGAAAGGCAGGAAAGAAGCTAGGTTTGAGAGCTGTCAAACAGTAGACAACTTCTATCTATTGAGCATTAACTCCCTGTAGGCACCCAGCATGATTTAGAGCAGTGGTTCTCAACCTTCTTAATGCCGCGACCCTTGAATACAGTTCCCCATGTTGTGGTGACCCCACAACCATAAAATTATTTTTGTTGCTACTTCATCACTGTCATTTTGCTACTGTTATGAATTGGGTGTCCCCTGTGAAAAGGTCATTTGACACCCCCCCCCAAAGGGGTAACGACCCACAGGTTGAGAACTGCTGATTTAGATGACCTGTTTTATTGCTCCCGACCATTATAATACACATTTACAACAGATGGACAAACTAGGACTCAGTCGGTTAGGAATGCTTCTAAAGTCACAGTCAATGCCAAAGCTGGAGTCCGGCACTCGAACATCCCTGCTTTCCTTCCCGCCTGTTTCTCTCCTCCTGTGTTAAATCACCAAAATATCGATATTCAAATTATCTTTTCATTAAAAAAATGAATAAAGGTTTCATGATGCAGGTGAGATAAAAATATGAATGATCCTCTTCTGACTTGATAGCAAAAGTATGTCCTGTGTTTATACATTTTAGAGATATGGTGTTGCCAATTATAACATTTCCAGGGTAACAAATAAATCAGATAGCCAATAAGGATTCTAGATTTCTTTGGGGAAGTTAAAAGTTACTTTCTCAGCGGATGGTGCCCGGCTATCAAAAGATACAGCATCTGAGGTCTTAAAGACTTGAAGATGAACAAGCGGCCATCTAGCTGAGAAGCAACAATGCCCATGTGGAAGAAGCACACCAGCCTGTGTGATCATGAGGTTTTTATGGGATTAGGTATCAGGCATCAAAGACACAGAACAAAATATCATGTCAATGTGAATGGGGCAGGGAGTGTGGAGTGGAAACCTAAAGCCCATCTGTAGGCAATTGGATATTCCCAGTCAGGTTGCAGTATAGCACCGATGAAACATACAACTTTCCTCTAGTTTTTTAATGCCTCCTCCTGCCCCACTATCATGACCCTGATTCTACCTTACAAATCTGGCTAGACCAGAGCATGGGTACGGATAAAAGCTGGAAACACAGGGAATCTGGGACAGATAAACCCCTCGGGACCAATATTGAGAGTAGCCATACCAGGAGGGGAAGGGGAAGGTGGTAGGAGAAAGGGGGAACTGATCACAATGATCTACATATAACCCCCTCCCAGGGGGACAAACAACAGAAAAATGGGTGAAGGGAGACATTGGTCAGGGCAAGACTGAAAAAATAATAATAATTTATAAATTATCAAGGGTTCATGAGAGAGGAAAGGTGGGGGAGGGAGGGGAAAAATGAAGAGCCAATACCAAGGGCTCAAGTAGAAAGAAAATGTTTTGAAAAGGATGATGGCAACAAATGTACAAATGTGCTAAAAGTTGCTTTCTCTTCTGGGGACAAATTTTACAAATCACACAGAGAGCAGACCAAGTTAGTCTGCAAAAGCAATATTCGCCCTTGTACCCTTATTGCCCAGGAAAGTAAGCTCAAGGACCCTCCAAAGGTCTGGCTTCATTACTTTGTCTGTTCAGATTCTCTGACTAGTTTTTGGATGTTGTGTGGGATCTCACTCGTTGCTGCCGCTGAGGAGAAGAAACAGCTAGCTTCATGTCGTCCTTAGAGTCTTTTGTTCATCGTGAGGGCTTGTGCTTTTCAAGGCTGACCTCCATCCTTTCATTAGTTACTGTAAGAAAACGTATGCCTGGGATGCTCCATTGTCCCAGAAGAAATGGAGAAAGAGCTGAAGAGCTTTTGCTGAAGAACAGTGAGTGAAGAGCCTCTCTGGCGTTTCTGGTCTCAGATATAAATTATTATCTGAGACCAGCTTGACTGGCCACCACTGTCCCTGCCATGCCTCTCAGCCATTCTTTCTCAAAGTGTCCTGTTTGAGCTTCCTATCTCTAAAGACAAACAGACGGAGACCCACGGGGTGTCATTGCAGTGGGTGGAGAGTTGCATTGAATTCGCTCTAAAATTGTTCTGAGCGTTTGGATTTCCAGGCCCCATGCAGTCAGTTAACAGGCTCCATTCATTTCCCCTTTCTGAGGACCCTGTCTTGCCACTGTTTGAAGGAGATGATTTAAGGAGACTGGCTCGGGAGATCACTAAGGCCAGAAGCTTCCTCTGCCAGGCCCAGGCCTTCAGGTATGCCCTTCAAGCCCTCCTTGCCACCCGCGACATGGCTCCTGCCCAATCAGACCCTGGTTCACTGGTGCATCCAGACGGGGACCAACCAGTGATGGCACTTTTGCCTCAAGGACCCTGGTCCTGCTTCTCTCCATCATGCCCAGAAGTCTGGGCATCAGGGTGACTTCATCCTTCATCTCCTGCCCACCAGATCCCAACTCCAGAAGAAAAGCACCGTGGAAGCCAAGGTCACTGCTTGATAGAGACACATTCTCAGGTAAGGGGCTGGGAAGGACGGAGTGCCTACTAAGCCAGGCAGCCTCGTGGGGAGGGATTCTTCCATTGGACATAGAATCATTCCCTGACCGTGTCTTGGCCATTGGGTCAAGATCACCTAGAAAGCTGTAACTCACAAGTCATCCCCAGGAGACTCACTGGGAAGCACCCCAACATCCTGGAAGTTGCTGAAGGAAAGGCTCTCTTCTTTGAGGATTGAGCTACATGTGAGTCTGCGTTAGCTCATCTGCCCTGTCTCTCAACACCCACCCGACCCCACCCACCCACACACACAGCGCCCACTTCAGCCTCGAGACTGCTGCTCCCTGGGATGTGCTACACTTTGAGCACCCTGCTGGGAATGTCCGTCTTGCCACCTTCTGACTTAAGGAAACTGAAGCCCAGGGACTTCCGCTCAGCTTTCAAGGCACAGCTCCATTGTGAAAATGTCCCAGGGCCCCCATCACCACCTGAGAGCTTCCGGACAGATCTGGGAGCCTCCAACTTTCCGGCCATAGCATCCTGACCAAACTCGCTCTTCTCGCACTGAGCAAGATCGCTTATCTGAATCCTCTCCTTGACCATGCCCTCCCTCATGATGAGGCTGGTGTTCTAACCATCTCTGAGTTCCCAGAACCAGCCACTCGGAAGACAGCGAAGGCACTCAGTCAACACTGCACATCCAGCTGTGGACAGCAGTCTGGCGAGACTCCTTCTGCCTGGGTTCTCTCACCCTGGAGTTCCCACTACCCTGGTCTGTGGAGGCCGAGGCACATTCCCCACTGGCCCATCTCGGACAAAAGGAGAAACAAGTGAGCCCTCACCACCACCACCCACCCCTGCGGTCACCGCCACCAAACTAAGCTGAACACTGCTTGGGAGCCCAGAGCAAATGTTCTATTTAAGCAGGCTGAGTCAGACTGGGTCTCTGGGCCCAGGCCCACGTGTACACATCAAGTGAATATACAATATATTATGTTTTCTGGGGTCATTTTTGAAAACAAAAATTAAGATGCCTTTGTTTCATGAACAATGTTAAAATTACCTTTTTAAAGAAAACTGTATAAAGTGATCATGGGTGTGTATAGACACTATTCATGAAAAGATTGGTATCCGTAATTGATGTATGGATTGTTATAAGAGCTGTAAGAGCCCCCAATAAAATGATTTATAAAAAATATTTTTTAAAAGAGATTGGTATCCAGAGATATAAAAAACTCCTTAAATCGGTTAGAAAAAGAGAAAAATCCCAAGGTTTAAAATAGACAAAGATGCAGACAGACATTTCACAAATGGGCACTGGGTATATGGAAAAATGCTCAACAACCTTACCCATCAGAGAAATGCAAATTAAAACTATTTACCAGAATGGCTAAAAATAAAAGACTGACAATGTCAAGATATGGAGCTATTAAACTCTCCTACATTGCTGGAGGAAGAGAAATTAGTTCAAAAACTTTGGAAAACATTCTGGCAATGTCTGTAGAAGAATATAACCCTACTCATTGATGTAGCAATTCCACCCCTAAGTGCTTACCCAAGAATGGGTGCATATAATCCACAAAAGACTTGTACAAGAGTACAGTGGCAGCATTGTTAATAAGAACCAGAAATCAGAAACGACTCAAATGTCACCAGTGGTAGAGTGGAAGAATAGACTGTGATGCATTTGTGCAATGGGATATTAGGCAGCAATTTTAAAAAATGAACTATAGTTATATTCAGTGACACGCATCAATCTCATGAACAAGATTGGCCAAAAGATGCCAGACATAAAGGAATGCACACCGTGCTTCCATTTATATGAAAGAACAGAAAAAAGTAGTTGTTGGTGATAGAAGTAGGAACAGTTATTATTTTTGGAGGGGCATTTACTCATGAAAGCGCTGTGTTAGTTTGGGTAGACTAGAGAAACAAATCCATAGACACTCATATGTGTACAAGAAAGAGCTTTATATAAAGAGTAATTGTACATTAAGAAAATATCCCAGCCCAGATCAGGTCCATAAGTCCGATATTAGCCCATATGGCCAATACCAATCTATAAATCCTCTTCAGACTCATGCAAAACATGCAATGACACCAAATGTAGGAAGATCACAGGCAGACCAGTGGGTGGAAAGTCTTGTGGGTCCAGTGGCAGTGGAAGCATCTCAGCACTGGCAGGGGTCTCCACGTGGCTCCTCCAGCTCCAGGACTCTAGTATAACTCCATGTGTCTTGTCAGCAGGAAGACAAAGCAGAGTGTGTCCCACCTCCGGGAGGAAAACAGGAGTTCCCAGAATCCTCAGGAGAAGGTCATACCCACACAGAAGCCTCATTGGCTATGACCTGATTAAAAGACTAGACTCTACCCCTTCGCAAGTTGACAGATTACTTAACTGCCACAAGCACCAAGGTACATCTGGGGTGCTAGATATGTTTTCAGTCTTAATGGTCATTGATGGCGTTAATACATATGGTTGTCAGTTGCTATTGAGTCAATTTCAATTCCCAAGGATAGACTAGAAGTGTGCTCCATAGAATTCCCAAGGCTATGTCTTTTCAGAAGCAAATCACTAGACTACCTTCTGAGGCCCCTCTGCATGGGTTTGAACCACTAATTTTTCAGCTAGGAGCTAATTGCTAAACCATTTGTGCTGGCCAGGGAATCCTTCATTCATGTACATATGTAAATATGCAAAAAAAAGTGTAAAGAGCAAACTCAATTCAAGGCCTCTAGGACTCTTGATGGCACAGTGATTATATGTTGAGCTGCTAACCACAAGGTAAGGAGTTCAAAACCACCAGCCACTCCCCTGGAAAAAGATAAGGCTTTCTACTCCTGGAAAGTGTTACATCCTCTGAGACTCACAGGGGCAGTTCTACCCTGTCCTCCCGTCATTATGAAGAGGAATCAACTCGATGGCGCTTAGTTTGTTTTTGAATTTGTGGTTTGGTTTGGTTTGGTTGGCTGGGTTAGGCTCCTAGCTGCTTTGGAGTTGCAAAGCAACACATGCCCGACTCCTGCTTTTACTATGCTCTGTTCTAGACCCTATAGGGTCACTACCAGTCGGAATTGACTCAGTGGCACTGAGTTTGTATTCGACCTGAGCCCTGGTGGGAGAGTGGTTACGCTTTGGCCTGTCAACCTCAATGTCAGCAACTTGAAACCATCAGCTGCTCTTGGGGAGAAAGGGAGCTTTCTACTCCTGAAAAGAGTTACCGTGTCGGACGCCTCCAGGGACGGTTAGTTCTACCCTGTCCTAGGATCACTATGAGGTGGGATCAGTTGCATGGCATTGAGTTTGTTTTTCAGTTTGGCGCTAAGTCCTAGGGAGACATTGCCCTAACATGGTGGATCCTGGTCTTGTCATCAGACAGCTATGGACAGGCTGTGACCAGAGCAGCTCTGAAGGATGGGGGCCACAGAAGAGAGCATGTAGCCCAGTCTGGGTGCTACAAAGATGCATCTTTAGCAGAGGTAGAGGTGGCTGAGAGCACAGAAGGATCTTGGACAGCTTCTCTTCTGGATGATTTCTCTTGTTAAGTGCCAGCGAGTTAGTTGTGACTCATAGTGAGCCTCTTTACAACAGAACAGAACACTGCCTGGTCCTGTACAATTCTCACAATTGTTCTTATGTCTGAGCCCATCATTGCGGCCTGTGTTAGGCAGGGTTCGCTAGAGAAACAAAACCAGGACACTTATGATTTTATATATATACAATATAGCAAAAAGGAATATAACAGCTAATCAGTCCACACAGGAGTACAGAGGGCTCAGTTCAACTCACTTCCATGAAAGAGTTAATATACTGGAAGTCCTTCAACACACATGGGCTGCCAGGTCCAAAGTCAAGGAAGCAGACAGCAGAGTTCTCCTTGGGAAAGGCAGGAAGATTCTGCCCAGAGGCAGCAAACAGCAGGGCAGGTCAGCAACTGTCAGTAGCTCAGGAGCTTAGCAAAGCAGGCCCAGATGGGATATTGAACTCAAGCAATGCAAGACAACAGGATCCACTAGCCTCAACCGATGTGATTACCAGCAGCGTGATGAAGCAGGTCTTGAAGGAGCCTCAAGCTGTAGTGACATGATCCGCAGGTTGGCTTGGTCCATGAGTAGTAGAACTCACAGGTTGAAGCAGAAAACTAGCTAAAGCAGCAGCACACTGGCCAGATCACCAGAGAGCAAGAGAAAGAGACATGGGCCTTGCAGAGCCATTTATCTCTTTGCCCTCCAATCAAACTGTGACCTGATTAATCCCACATGCTCCTATTGGCCAGGTTGGCACAATAAACCTATCACACAGCCACTCTATCAATCCATCTCCTCTAGGGCCTTCTGTTTTTCCAATGCCCCTCCACTTTACCAAGCATGATGTCCATCTCCAGGGACTGTTCTTCTCCTGATAACATGTACATGAGACAGGGTCTCGCTATCCTTGCCTGTAAGAAGCATTCTAGCTGGACTTCTTCCAAGACAGAGCTATTTGGTCTTTCGGCAGTCCATGGTACTTTCAATTTTCTTCACCAGCACCGTAATTCAAATGTATCCATTCTTCTTCAGTCTCTCTTATTCAATGTCCAACGTTCACATGCATATGAGGCAATGGGAAATACCATGGCTTGGTTCAGGAATACTTCAAAGAGGTCTTATACAGCAGATTTACCCAATGCAATGCAGCATTGATGTCTTGACTGCTGCTTTCGTAAGCATTGATTGTGGATCCAAGCAAGATTAAATCCTTGACAACATTGATTTTTTTTCTCCATTTATCATGATGTGTAACCTATTGGTCCAGTTGTGAGGACTTTGGCCTTTATATTGCGTCATAATCAATAATGAAGGCAGCAATCCTTAATCTTCATTACCAAGTGCTTAAAGTCCTCTTCATTTTCAGCAAGCAAGGTTGTTAATAAACCTTCCTCAATCCTGATACTGTATTCTTCTTCATATAATCCAGCTTCGCTGGTTATTTGTTCTGCACAAAAATTGAATAAGTATGGTGAGAAGATACAACGCTAGAGCATACTTTTCCTGAATTTGAACTGCGCAGTATGCCCTTGTTCTGTTCACACAACTGCCTTTTGATCCATGTACAAGTTCCACATGAGCACAATGAAGTGTTCTAGAATTCTCATTCTTTTTTAAAATAATTTTTTTTCAATAGCCCCCTTGACAAATAATTTACACATCATAAGTTCTACAGTTCAATAATGCAATCACAACACGAAGATTGTATAATCACCCCTATGTCAACTTTAGCGCATTCCGCCTCCCCCATGCTTAAATTGGCCCCAAGATGATGTTTATGCCATTACAATCAGTTCTAGTGCTCCTTGCCCCCTCCCATCCTCACTAGTCACTCCCAAAATCCCCCCTCCC